CCCGGAGCCTGGCTGCCCTTGCTCCTGGCTCTCCCCGTGGGTGGTGGAGCTCCAGGGACCCCACCACGGTCTCCACTGAACTCCTGTCCTGTCACCCGCTTCCACCCTCATTTACACCCAGTGGGATGGGGAGTGGTGGGCCCTGCGCACTGCAGGTGGGAAAGGCGGGCTTTGGGACAGAGCTGGGCCCTCCGATTGGTCGGGGGGGGTGGGCGGGGACAGAAGTCACTCCACCTGTCTGAGCCTCAGTTTCCTCCTCCACAGCAGGGCCAGCAGGCCTGGCCTCTCTGGGCACACGGAGAGGGGGCAATGAGATCACAGGTGTCATTAGAGGCCAGAGTTATGACAAACACAGCCAACATCACCTCCACCCAACAGGGAACCCCCAGGCCTCCTGCCCAAACACAGGGCTGTGAGCTACAGCTGCCAGCGAGCAGGGAGTGAACGTAGGGCTGGGCTCAGTCCTGCCAAAAGCCCACCGGGCCTCTCTCCATGAGTCCCGTGTCCACAGACAGGGCCAGCGTCACTCTGACCACAGCAGACTGAGGCCGCAGAGGTTCAATGAGTTAGCTTCTTTGCCCTAACATTAACCGTAATGCTAACCCAAACCCTAACCCTAAACATAACCGTAACTGTAACCCTAACCCTAACCCTAACCCTAACCGTAACTGTAACCCTAACCCTAACCGTAACAATAACCCTAACCCTAACATTAACCGTAACTGTAACCCTAACCCTAACCCTAACATTAACCGTAACGCTAACCCTAACCCTAAACATAACAGTAACTGTAACCATAACCATAACCATAACCCTAACCCTAACCCTAAACATAACCATAACTGTAACCCTAAACAAACCCTAATGCTAACCCTAACCCTAAACCAGTGATGGCGAACCTATGACACACGTGTCAGCGGTGACACGCAAACTCATTTTGTGGTTGATTTTTTTTTGTTCAATGGCATTTAAATATATAAAATATGAAAAATATAAGTCTATGTTTTACTATGGTTGCAAATATCAAAAAATTTCTACATGTGACACGGCACCAGAGTTAAGTGAGGGTTTTTCAAAATGCTAACACGCCGAGCTCAAAAGGTTCGCCATCACTGCCCTAACCCTAACTCTAACCATTACCCTAACCCTAACCCTAACCCTACCTCTAAGCATAACCCTAAACCAAACTCTAACCCTCACCATCTCCCTCACACTCACGCTTGCCCTAACCCTAACACCAACGCAGGTCCAATCCTAACCCTAACCCTAGAGCAAACCCTAACCCTAACCCTAGCCCTAGCCCTAACCCTAACCCTAACCCTAGCCCTAGCCCTAACCCTAACCCTAATGCAGGTCCAATCCTAATCCTAGTCCTAACCCTAATCCTAGCCCCAGCCCTACACTAACCCTAACCCTAACCCTAACCCTAACCCTCACATCCTCACCTAAGGAGAGAGGGACCCTTCATGGAAATGGCCTCTGACCCTGTGGCCTTTGGGGCTCTTGGGAGCCAGGCGTTTCATACCTTGGGCTCCCCTTGGGTCCCAGGATGGCCCAGGGCGGTGGGGCCCCCAGCACAGCCTTTTGGTCCGTCCCTCCCTCCCTCCCTCCAGTGAGCACTGCCGCTCCGCTCCTGCCCAGGGCGGGTGGGCCAAGCGGGGCTTCCTGCCAGCGACAGGGCTGGGGGCACCCAGAGGACGGACCCCCTCAGGAGTCCTGAGCCCTGTCCCCCAGGGAGGGACGCATGCGGCTCATCCCCAGCACCTGCTGTGCCGCCACAGTGCCTGGCCCCACTTCACCTTCCCAGCGAGCAGGCTGGGCACCCTGCCAGCCCCCAGCCCTGCCTTGACGCCCTGCTGCTGGGCTGCCCGCTCCAGGACGCTGTCCAGCCCTGCCCTGCCCCTCCCCTGCCCCTCCCGGGGCAACTCCTACAGGGATCGGGTGCCAGCCAGGGCCGCCTTCCCTCCCTCCTTCTGGCCAGAGACCCTGCGTGGGGCCAGCAGCGCCTTCCTTCTCTGCTCTGCCCGCACCTGGAGGAGGCGCCGGGCAGGCCAGGTGCACGTACAGCCTCCCGGGGGCGCGGGTGGCGGCTGCAGCCACAAAGCCAGCCCAGCTCAGCTGGGGCAGGTGGGCCTGGGCCGAACCTCTCCCCTCGGGGCCTGTGGGTGCGGGGAGCAGGGACAGGCGACTCCAGGGGCACACGGAGGGGGGCCCAGGCTGGTCTCCCCTGTGGGCGGCCTGGCCCCCCCGTGCTGCGTCGCTCTTGGGGCCAGCGTCCCGGCTCGGCTGGGGGAGGGGTGGGAACAGGCAATGCTGACCCAGTTCTCTCTGGTCTAGGGAGCCGCGGCCTCGGCCCCTGCACCCCCGACGCACCCAGGTAGGCTCGGCCTGGGGCCCAGCTCTGCACGCGGGACGGGAGGGGCGGTCACAGCGGCTGCAGGGACGGCCCAGCCAGGGCACCTGCAGCTGAGAGGGCCGGGCGGTGGGCAGCGCGCCACGGAGCCTGGGCAGGAGCGCGGGGCTGCTGGGGAGGGGGCCTGGGCCGCGTGGTCGGTCCCGCCCCAGCCAGGCGGGCAGGGCGGTCGTCAGCACCTGGCAGCCTGCTACTTGGGGCCCTGCCCTGAACCCCAGGGGGCAGTTTCGTGGACGGTGGAGGGGACTTGGTGTGCCTGAGGCCATCCTGGAGGAGGTGTCACTGTGGATGGACATGTGGGGTCAGCGGAGGGGTCCCTGAAACCTGGAGTAGGCGGTCCCCCAGGGTTAGCCCGGGGCCTGGGCAGGGTGGGGTGTCCTGCCTGGGAGGAGCTGGGCGTGAGGACCTGAGGAGGGAGTGGCCGGGAGGGTGGTTGGGGTTAGGGTGGGAGGTGGGTGGCATGCAGGGGCCAGAGACAGAGGGTGTGGTCACTGGGCTGCAGTGGGCATTGCAGGGGTGGGGGTGGGGCACCCTTCTCAGAAGCCCGGGGTGAAGGGGAGGGAAGGTCAGGGAGGGACGTGGGGTCAGGACCCCCTAAGCCGGTCCAGGCCCTGGAGGAGCGAAGGCGGGAG